GTCGGTTTTTCAAATATTAGAACCAAACCAAACCAATTAAGTCGGTTTTTTCTCGATTCGGTTATGTCGGATTTTGTCGATTTTTCGGTTTTTTGTCGGTTTTTTCTTAAATATAAGACATACACTACCAACACATCACTTCCGGCGACCACATTTTCAACGTAACACTATTAAATCAATTGCCCCTTTGAGAAACCTATTATTTACCAAGAATATATTGATGATAATTGAATCAAATAGTGATGAATAATTTAAGGACTCAATTAAAAATATATTATTCTTAACACGAAATGGATTCTTACACTTTACAAAAGAAAACTACCAATCAAACTAGAATATAAAGGTAAAGAACTATACTAAAAGTGACAAAACTATTAACATTTACCATAAAATTTTTGAAACTTTGTATACAAAATATACATAATATTATATATAAGGTGTAATAATAAATTTGAAAAATAGCTACTCCTATAGTCGGTTTTGGTTCGGTTTTTTTCGGTTTTTTTTCTGATTAAAACCAAATCAAACCAAATTTGATCAGTTTTTAAAAATTCAAAACCAAAACAATCAAACCAAAAAGTATCGGTTTTTTTGATCGGTTTGGTTTGGTTTTTGGTTTGGTTCGATTTTTCGGGTTTTTATGAACACCCCTAGATACAATATATCCATAAAAAGATAAGACTATTGCAACTACTGAACTACCTAAAGCTACCTCACAAACACATTGGAAGGAGCATTTACCGGTACGGAGGAAAGGATCACTTTCCCTCTCTTACTAGTGGGCGGTTGGACATAAGAATTGTAAAATTCCAAAAAAAAAAGTGAAAATGATATTTGAAAATTAAAGTTGTGTTTGGACATGAATATAATTTTGGGTTGTTTTTTAAGTTCTGTAGTGATATGAATAAAAATTTTGAAAAACAGCTTTTTGGAGTTTTTCAAATTTTTAAAAAAATCCAAAATTCATCTTCAAGTGAAAATTGGAAATTTTATGACCAAACATTGATTTCGAAAAAAACGTGAAATTTTTTCGAAAAAAGTTGAAAAAAATCCTATGTCCAAATGGGCTCTTAAGTGGGCGTTTAGACATAAGAATTGTAAAATTCCAAAAAAAAAAAAGTGAAACAAAATTTCAAGTGAAAATGGTATTTGAAAATTAGAGTTTGTTTGGACATGAATATAATTTTGGGATTTTTTTGAAGTTTTGTGAGTGATATGAGTGAAAATTTTGAACAATAACTTTTTGGAGTTTTTCAAATTTTAGAAAATTTCCAAATTTAATCTTCAAGTGAAAATTGTAAATTTTATGGCCAAACACTAATTTCAAAAAAATATAAAAAAAATTCGAAAGAAGTGAAAAAAAACTTATGTCCAAACGAACTCTTAGAGTATTTAATATCTTCCAAGTTTCCAAATGCTTTTCATGGCTAATAAATAAGAAAAAGGGTTGGTGCCACACCTTCACCCAACATCTCCGTCAAGTTTCCAGTGAGTCTAGTACTCATAGCCTAAATTAGGGGGTGTCAAATAGGTGGGTTAGGGCCGATTTCTTCCTCTCGAGCTGAGGGTCTTTCGGAAACAGTCTCTCTACCTTCCAGGGTAGGGGTAAAATCTGCGTACACATTACCCTCCCCAAATCTCACTTGTGGGATTCCACAGGATTGTTGTTGTTGTTGGGCTAATTTTGAGCGGGTCAAAATGGACTGAGTGACTAAATGGGCAGGTCAAATGACCCGTCCAAAAGTTACTTGGGTTAGATGGGCTGTATTTGACCCGCCCAAAAGTTACTTGGGCTGAGATGAGCTGGGTCAAGATGGATTAAAATTGGGTCATAGCTCATTCCGCCCAATTCTTTCCATACTTTAGTTAATATGTATTTTTTGAGCAAACAGGAAATATATATATATTAATAACTAAGGAACGTCTAGTACATGATTAACTAAAGATGCGTCACGAAGGACACATTGGTTCCCTAAGCTTGCTAACAGTTGGCAAGCTTCATTACATAAAAGCTTTTCATGAGTAGTAGTTTCTAGTCTATAACTTTCCACAAAATCTATTACATCACTGGGTGGTACGACAAAAACTTTTTTACTGATCTTCTGAGCATAATTCTTCCAGCTGATCCAAAAACTTGGTTATCCATTCCTAGGCTCCTTTTTGCTAGTTGATGAGCAATCCTATTCCCCTGCCTGAAAGTGTGTTGGAGAGTAACCTTCTGCTGGTGCATTAACGACCTGCAATCATTAACAATTTTATTAAATAATGTGTTACCCACCTGTAAAGCCTGGATTACCTCTGAGCGGTCTGTCTCTATTTCAAGTGGGAAGAGTTTCTACTCCTTTGCTGTCCTTAGACCTTCTCGTAGAGCTTTCAATTATGCTGCTAGTGAGCCATTTGCATGGGTTGATTTTGTAAAACCAACCACCCAACTACCACTTGCATTTCTGAAAACACCACTTAAATCACAATTTTTGTTATAACTATGAAAACTGGCATC